CTGCAGCTCCTTACATGCAGAAAAAAATGGGTCATAAGAGCAGAGGAGGAATTTGCTAGACCAATAGCACAGACTAGTGGTGAGGGTTTAGAAATGCATGAGAGCAGTTATGAAAAATTAAGTATGTGCTGTGGGAGTCTGAGGAATATTCAGTCGAATCCAGCAACCCTAATTTCAGCCATGACTGAAAGTAGATAATCCCTTTTGATACACAGGCAGTGCATTTATCCAGCACCATCATTATCACATACTTGAATGAGCATAACCTTCATTTCATTCATACTCAAACCACCTGGTTTTCTTACAGACCCCATTCCCCTTCTCACTGCCCAAAACATTATTCAACACAAAGAGGAGGTAGGAGGGGCAGGCACTTGTGACAAGAAGAATTTGCATGACCCACAAAGGCCCTGTCTCTCCTCTGACTCCATAAATCAAAAGGATGGAGAGAATCCCTTGACACCTCTGTTCTTTTTCCTCAAAGGTGATAAATTGATCCCTGGTTGGCTAATAAGCAGAGGCACAGGGCAGCCAAAACTTCCCAAAGATTTATGCAGCGACAAGTGGATTTACTGTATAGGGGAGGAAATGTGAACAATTAGGAGATGAGAAACTCGTTACTGTATTCATCTTCCCAGTACTCATGAGGTTTCTGATGAGAAGACCTTAGCTCAGTCCGGGGGTGTTGGCACCAAAGAAATAATGCATCAGGACAACAGAAATAGAATCTCTCATGGAGGCAATGCATGTGACTGAATTACCAAATTTTAACTGATGAACATGCATTCCAATTACACTAACTGGCTTTTGATGGGTAAACATTCGCTATGGTTTTAGGTAGATTCCATTGCCTGACTTTGTCCCCATTTCATCTGACCTAAAAATAGAGCTGATTGCTGAAAATCAATATGATGGACACATCAGCATTCTTCGGTTTGTCAGCAGTCTCCCCAAATGGAGGGAGGGTTAGAATGTGTAAGGCAATCTAACAGCTTGCAGCTTTGCCAGACATAAGAGAAACCTTTTAAGGCAACTCAACCAGGCATCTTAACGACACAAGGTGATACTGTGACAGGAAAAGCAGAAGATGATCAGTGCTATCATCATCTCCAAAGCTGACTGGAAAAAGGGGACAGAGCATAGTGGTGTAGAGTTTCCTAAGAGTGCCAACGGCAGATAAAGCTACTGTACCTTCCCTTCAGCTCTCTTGCTCTCTTCTAAAATCAAATTTTCTCACTCTAGTTTTAGTGTGTCTTTCCCTTCCCATCCTTCTTCTCTGTATCTTCCTGTTCCATACTCAGTTTCAGCAGCTCATCTGATCCCTTACCCTTTACACTCTTCATCCTTCACTGCCTAGCCCCTTCCCTTTCTGCCCACCTATCTTACTCACACCCCTCTTTGCATCGACAGCATGCTTATCCTGTTGAATGCATGTAAAGTAGATTATGATAGCCTTTGGGAAGGAGCAGTTTTGGCATGTTGTAAAGTTTTCAGCAAGATAGAAGACAGTTTAGATTGCAGACAAGGAAAAGATATTGTGGAAAAACTAAATTTGTACTCATGTATTCCTTATTAAAGGATCAGCAATTGCACTATGGAGCTAAGGGACACCGGTTACCACTTTTAGCAATAAAGCACTTGCCTGATTTTCATGCCAGGTGCACATAACTCATAAGTAAAAGTTGCTGCTTCCTTAAGTAATTTTTAGAATTTACAGTATATCTTGGAGTTTGGATGGGAATACTTCTTACTGTGACAGCTTCCATGACAAATGTGATATCTCATCAGCATCAGCCTGACTATTGCAAACCTATGCAAATGTGTCTAAAATATCAAACATCCTCCCATCCAAAGGATGTCTTTTTTGGGTTGCATGACGCCAATTCTAAATAGACATTTGGTGCACTATATAACTAATTCCATCTACGTCTGGCAGTGACGCTACTCTGTGCCACCGAAGCAGCTGTTGTTACGGAAAGAGAGGGAAGCGAGAGGCAGATCACTTCCCAAATGCTCATTTTTAGCTGGCTTGTTTGGGCACAGTGCACCAGAGCTGACGAGCTGAGCACAGAGTTTTTGACACAATGGTGTCAAACTCGGGACTGCAGTGTTCAGCTCACACAAATGAATAGCATCACACCTGCTGGCAACATGCAGACACAGACACAAACAGACTGTTATCAAGTCTGCATGGCAATTAGTGTGTTTGGGAGTGCTAAAATAATGACACATTTGCCTGACATCATTTCATTAAAGAGGCTCTCAGGGAGTAGGCATATGGAATGTACTGGAAGTGCTGAAAATTCAGAAAAGCAGTACATCCGTTTTAATGTTTAAAATAGCTTCAAATGTGCAGTAAGGTTAACATATATACAAACTCAAATCCAGCAATGCAATAGTTGATAAATATTTACCAACTTAGTTTCTAGCCGCAGCAGACAGCTGTTTTCAACGAAAAGCCTACTACCTGCTCAGCACCAAACTGCTGACAAATCGAGTTAACTCCTGGCTGCTAAACAAACGCTGGAGAACTTAGCAGCTTAAAAGCTGGTCGCAGACAAAACAGAATGAACAGGATTTTGGGCTGCGAAATGCGACTGAATAAATGCTAATGTCGCCTTGTGTCTGATGGATACTTCACTATTTGCTAACCATTAAGCCATTCTACTTTGGGTGACAATGTTTGCAGCTTGTTTCTGTTGCTCAAGTGGCAAAGCAAAGAGTTAAGGCAAGTTTAATTTCAGCCACTGCACCCAATTCTATCACAAACTACTATGGTTTTGTCATAAAAAACACTGAGTTCACTATAATGAGTGTAGTAATAAGGCGGCACTTATTATTTACAGCAGTTAGGTTGTGACAGTAAAGTTTATGTGATAGATGGACAGCAGAAGCACTTCTCCAGCTACTGTTTGCAGGAGTATTCAGTACACGGTATCGGGTTCTATTCACAACTGGACAGAATTTTAGTTTAGGTTTCTGAAGTATCAAACTGCCACCTTGTGTCACAGCGTTTGAGCTGGTTTTACAGTCAACACTGAACAATCTATTTCCTGTGCAGCTTGTACAAGCCCAGTGACGCCACAATTCCCATGCTTTGCCAGTGTAGTAAATTACCAGTCTATGACTGGGTGTGACCTCTTAGAGCACTAAAAAAATAAACAAATACAGATTAGGTTTTTTCTAACTGCTCCCACTTGACTGGCATTTCAGAAGTAGTGTATGGCTAAGTAATATCTTCACCTCCACCTCAACATTCTTGTGGTTTTACGAGTCGGGCTGTTGTCTCTGTTGGTTACTGTTGAGGGGAAGGTCATAAACGGGCGATTTATGTCTGAAGTGCAGCCAGGAATGCTGATGCTACTGTCAGAGAGCAGAGATCCCATCTGGTTTGACTCACATTTAATAAAAACTGTAAACTTCACAACCGCACACCCTAATTCATGTGCTGTACAGTTATGTGTTCACACAGAGAACAGGTTAACATAACTGGCAGAAAATATACTGAATGGCATAATCTGCATAATAGCTCCTTGTGACAGTAAAAGTAAGTTTCACACTTTGAGCTTCTTACATCACGGCTTCTAATTGAGGTCTAGATGAACTAAGCTTCCCGCTGGCTTTGCTGTTAATCGTCATAGTGAGAAATAAGAACGCCTCATTAGCTCTCAGTCTTCCAGTGCTGCTGCACTTCTGGAAAATCTACAATACAAACACATTACTCAACACATTCTCAAAACAAATACAAAAGTGTACACACAACATAATATGATGCTACATCGATTACTGTCCCATCTGCTTTTCCACAGCAGTTACCTGGACTTGTAAGCCACCCCTGTTAAGTTATGGGCATTTTAATTGCTATAGACAGGGGTCTATTAGCAGGGCACCTTGGGTGGCCATGACCATGTTTCTCTAAATCATTAAGCTAATTATACAAGCTAATTAATCAGTATGCTTGGAATGGACTGCATGAGCAGACGCTGCTCTTTGTTGGCTTGCATAGAGAACGGAGTCAGTTTTTAAATAACAAAAATGTCAAAGCAGTTGTGAAAAAGGAACTGATCTTAAAAGCATACATTATGATATTTGCATATCAAGTTCTTTACAGATTCAAAACAAAAAGTGAAGTGGAATCACATAAATAAAACGTTCAGCTAGAATCACATTTCTAGTGCTTTGAAGATGCTGAATAATGCATGGGGTGGTGGGTATGAGAGGCAACGTGTGCCACAGTGTGCAGCGTCTTTGTCGTGTAAGATAAACACAAAGACAGATTTCTCAATCACTCAGTGCCACTGTGAGGCGACTCGGACAATTTCAAGCCCGTGCTCGACTTTCGTTACCGAGACCAGCTTAGCCATTTGTGAAGCAATCATGGCAGACTGCTACAACTGGTGCGTGCGCACGTTTGTCAGAGCCTGTCTGTGTGATTTCCAGGATGAGGAGGACCACTTTGCTCCTCAGACATTTAGGGTCCCTTGACATCCTATTATTTTCCAGTCAGCAGTCTGAACTCAGCAGTTGACAAAATCAATTAGGGTACTTTGTAAGCAGAGTGTATGGTTATCACTGAGCGTGCATGTGTATCAGTATGTGTGCATGTACGTCAGCTGCATATTCATGCTTTCTTGCACACAACTAAGGGCGTATAAGAAAGAGTCACTGTCAGAAATTATTACTTACAAGCAGGCACAACCAAACCTCCTGCTGTCCCGTCTCCAGTGTGTAGTGGAGACACAGTCGGTGTTCATGCAGGAGTCTATTTTTAGCACATTTCATTATGCACAGCAGAAAATCACCTGCTCAAAGCACATGAAGCATGTTTACAAACCTAATGGGACTACTGTATGGTGTAACACAGCAATGCATATAGGCTACAGTGGATGCTAGCTCATGCTTCATCTACCTATACAGTGCACTGATTTAAGGGTTTTGTGGTGAACTGACAATGATACAATACACTAAAGCCCAACATCTGTCTGTCTCTTCCTTTCCAGGGAGATTCTGAGGAGTTCTCTTCTTTCTTTACTCTGGTCCGAGGCAGCGATCGCAATTGATTATTCCAAACAGGTAAAATCCACATTTTGTAAAACCTTCCTTGAAATTGTATGATTTAATA